AGCGCCATTTTGGAGAGTATCCACTGAACGTAAATTGCATATGCTGTTCTGTGTCAGCTGTGCCACGTGGATACGTTTTCTACGTTGTTTACGCTTTGATTTGAACGAAAACATCGTATCCGTGTGACACAGCCGACACAGAACAACATACGCTGTTTGGATACTCTCGATACTCTCCAAAATGGCGCCAGGGTGACGTGGAGGAGACGAATTGTTGAATAAAGTCGTTTTTTGTTTTTTGTTTTTCGCTCAAAGTATTCTCGTAGCTTTGTAAAATTACGGTTGAACCCCTGATGTCACATGGATTATTTTACCGATGTCCTTGCTACGTTTCTGGACCTTGATCGTGTAAAGACCCTTGCTGTCTATGGGAGGGTCAGAGAGCTCTCAGATTCCATCAAAAATATCTTAATTTGTGTTCCGAAGATGAACAGAGGTCTTACGGGTTTCATTTTTGGATGAACGATCCCTTTAAAGCGATAGCGCGGTGCACATGTGAACCAATCATCTCATCCTCTTTACTCGTTATTATAGCACAAAATAAACATGAATGAACATGAGAAGGTGTTGAAAGAAAGAAAGAGATGACTTCAATCAGTATTTCAACCGCCGAAAGACGTTGTTAAAACAGCTTGTAAACAGTACACATAACATCCATAGCTTGATAGTTGCTATAAAAATAACTCTAGAGGAACATTTTGTTAAATATATTCACTATATTACATATTTGAATTTAAAATAAATGAGAAATCACTTACAGGTTATGTTTAAATAAATCTGAATCATAAAGTTGACAGCTACAGTCGAAACAATTATATTGTTAAAGTTGATATAAAACTGCTTTGAAAATGTTTGTATACAACTCTGTTTTTATTTGAGTGTTAATTGTTCTATCTAGAAATAAATAGCCTAGAAATTGAATTTGGACTGTTGTTAACATTTACAACTGTTTTAACTATAGTTTATAGCATTAGTTGATAAATTGTTTTCTTTGAGAAAAATTGATATGAACTCTATATATATATATTTATATTTATATCTCAGATTGAAGGCTGTATCATTACTCAGCCCTATTTGGCACTGAGGATGGATGCTCAGCACATGTACAATGGGCCTAACAGTCTCTAGCATCTTGAAATCTGCTCAAACGCACCTTTTTGTGTCTCAGAAATCCACATCTTGGATATCAGAGGATGACTTCTACAAACCAGAAGAAATGGGCAGTTCTGAAGCGTATGCAGTCATTGACATTGCGCAGATGAACGGACAGGTGACGCCTACCTCTGAACCAGACGCCATCCAGCCACCACCTAGTGTAGTGCACCGGAGACACAACGGTAAGATGGACACAAGACAGGAATTTCCTTAGGTCTGATTCTTGGTTAGTAACTGCTGGAAGACTTTACTCACCAAGCCCTGAGCTGCAAAGTAGTGGAAATGTAGTGGTCAGTCAATTTTTATTGGCTTTAATGTGTTAACTGTGATTCAATTTTTCTGTATTTTTAACAACTTCCTTCTTGCAGAACAATGTCCTTAAAAAACTAGCAGACATGTTTATACTTCCCTTTGCTTGGTTTCACACACAGTAGTTAAGTGCTAACTTTAATTTTCATAGCTATAAAAAGGCTTTCAGTGGTTGAAATTGCCTTAAGTGTTGTCCCATGCACTGAACTTTGAGGTTTGATCCCAAGTATGATTGGGATTTAAACCAGAGAGTTCCATCTCAAACTGAAGATTTAGTTTTCTCTTTCATTTCAGCTGAAGATAATTTTGTTTTTTTGTTTTTTTTGGGTGTAGTTTAGTTTTTAGCTAGTCTTTAGTTTTTTTTTTTTTTTTTTTAAATATGGTATGTAAAAAATATATATATTTTTAAATATAGTATTTATTCATATTTATTTATTGGTTTTAATTTATTCAGATTTAGTTATTTTTTTACTACAAATTAAACTAAATTGAAATGAGAAATGGAAGTCAACTGGGAATCAGGATTATTTTCGGTATATATATATATATATATATATATATATATATACATACATACATTATTTCAATCCTTTGTAATGTATAATTTCATACACTCAACCTCAAGTTTATAATACAGCAATTTGATTAAAAAACACAAATGTTTGATAAAGAGTAGAGCTGTTGGATGTGTGTAAAACATGGTCTTTCACTTTCTCTTTCTTTCAGGTCTTCCTAACCCGTTCAGGGGTCTGCTGAAGCTGGGTCAGCTGGAGCGCCGCAGTGCGGTGGGCATGTGGCGGGATTATTACTGCGAGCTCTCTCCATTTGAGCTGCGGCTTTACATCAACGCAGAGGAGCGCATCTGCTATGAAAACCTGTCCCTGCTGCGCTGCGAAGACGTCCACCTGTCCTCCAGTAACGAGGGCCGATTCCGGCTCTCCTTCCCAGGCAAAAGAATCTACCTGCGCGCGCCGTCTCGAGGAGAGGCAGAGGACTGGGTGGATCGCATCGTGGAGGCCATCAGCAAACTACGGCCCACAATGAGAGATGAACAGTGGGAGGTGCTACACACGTCCAATGACCAGGACGTCCCCTCACCGACACCCTCAAGCCCCGAACACACCATCTCAGAACTTCCAGATCCTCCACAGTTAGATTGGATCCGTCATAAGGACCCAGAGCCAGATGCCATAAAGGAAGCGGTGGTCTATCAGAACTTGGAGGAGAAGGGTTGGCGGTCTGTTTTACTTTCTCTCTCCTTGGAGGCCCTCAGGGGGTACCGGGTCCAAGGGGACTCCAAGATGCCCCTCTTCTCATACTCCATTGGGAGCATCAGGGATGTGGTTCCTGATGTTTCTTTAGGAAGTCCTGCGTTTTTTAAGGTTCTGACTGCGCAGGACACTCTGACGCTGAGGGCGGAGAGCGGAGAGGAAGCGCGAGGATGGAGGAGTCTGATCAGAGGAGCGCTTGACTCGTATCTGGAGACTGAGGATGATGGAGCGCTTCAGGGCGTCTCATCGCCCCCCGGTGGTTACGCGGGGAAGATACACAAACTGGTCCAACACAGACTGAAGGGAGATGGGGTGTTGCTGTCTCACTTGTCTACTGTCCCGAATGAGAGAGGACTAGATGCACAAAACTACAAATGTGCAGGTATGAGATGTTGGCATGGTATTTTTTGTATAGATCTGTAAGTTATTTAAAATTAAATTTAGACAATGATATAGACATGACATAACATATAGACAATGACTTTTAATAAGCTCTTGTTTTCAATATCTGAATTCATTTTAATTCAGCAGTGGAGATATTTTCGGTTAAAAAAAAGTGTCAAAGTGGTGTAATTGTTCAACTTTATTTAGTGATGATATAATCTATATTTATTATTATTATTATTTATTAAAAAACAGTTCAGGAGTTGTATTTATCATGAGTATTTCTATGATTTTTTTTATGCTCCTTCAGAAATCATTCTAAAATGCTGATTTGGTCCTCAAGAAAACTTTCATATTATCATCAATGTTAAAAACAATTTTTTTTTTAAATTAGCTTAATTTTTTGTGGATACGTGATACTTTTTTTTTTTTTTTCAGGATAGATTTTTTGATGAATAGAAAGTTATACAAAAGTAGAGCATTTATTGGAAATATAAATCCTTGATAACATTCTAAATGTCTTTACGGTCACTTTTTTATCAATTTAATGCCTCCTTGCTGAATAAAAGCATTCTTTTTTTTTTTTTTTTTTTTTTTTAAAGTAAAATCTTTTCAACTGTAGTGTATGAATCAGATATTTCAATCTTTTATGATATGACAAGGTTTCTTTAGGTTTTCAAATGTCAATAATAATTTTATATAAATAACTAATTAATAATAATTAATATGATAATAATGAGTAAACAATTATTTAAACATGTTTCTTTAATCATTGCTTACTTTAATTTATTTTCTTATTTTGTAAATCATTAAGTTAAAATGTATGGGAAAAAATGTGCTTTTGCTTGATGGTTACACCACTACTGACATTTTCTTGAATCAACAATTTTTTACCTACTATAAATATTTGACAGAAATTTATGAAACCAGCAATACAAATATTGCATTAGAACTATGTATTTGTGTTCTAAACTGGATTTGTCTTATCTTCACTTTGCATCGGCCCCAGAAGCGAGGCATCAGCCACATGTTTGTTTCCTTTGCATGCCTGCATTTGTGAGACTGAGGAAGTGCTGTGCTCTTGTGTCTGTGTGTAAGTGTTTTTCTCTGTACCGTGCTCTCTGGCACTAAGTAGAAGCCGTTGTAAATGTGTACGCAGGTTGCTCTCATCAGATCGGTATGTCTCTGGGGAGAGCCAGACTCTGTGAGTTCTCAGGTCAGTACTACTGTGAGAGCTGCCATCAGGGAGACACAATCATCATCCCCTCCCGCATGCTGCACAACTGGGACCTAACAATGCACGAGGTGAGCTCTGCTGACTTCATTTTATTTTATTTATGGACTCAAATTAATGTAAGTGGTATTCACTTTCCATTTTACTTCATTTAATGCTTAATGTTCTTTTTAAAAAAATTTTAAACTTGTTTTTATTGTCATAATTTTATAGATAAATACAAATCAGTTACGTATTCTTTAAAAAAAAAAAATTCTAAAGAGTAGAGCTGTCACTTGATAAAATTCATTACCTGTTGTGCTGATATATTCATTAAAGTATTATCTTAATACTATAATTGTGTGTGTGTGTGTGTGTGTGTGTGGTCACACTTTATTTTAAGGACCAGTTCTCACTATTAACATAGTCTCACTATTAACTAGTTGCTTATTAACATATATGTGACCCTGGAGCACAAAAGCAGTCTTAAGTCGCTGGGGTATATTTGTAGCAATAGCCAAAAATACATTGTATGGGTAAAAATTATAAATTTTTCTTTTATGCCAAAAATCATTAGGATATTAAGTAAAGATCATGTTCCATGAAGATATTTTGTAAATTTCCTACCGTAAATATATCAAAACTTAATTTTTGATTAGTAATATGCATTGCTAAGAACTTCATTTGGACAACTTTAAAGGCGATTTTCTCAATATTTAGATTTTTTTTGCACCGTCAGGTTCCAGATTTTCAAATAGTTGTATCTCGGCCAAATACTGTCCTATCATAACAAACCATACATCAATGGAAAGCTTATTTATTCAGATGATGTATAAATCTCAATTTCAAAAAATTGACCCTTTTGACTGGTTTTGTGGTCCAGGGTCACATATATCATATTGGCTGTTTGTTAGTACTTATAAAGTAAATACCTTACGCTGCAAGATCATATTTTAGATCCCTTAATCCGATCCCATACATAAACATAACTACCTTACTTTTATTCAGCAAGGTGCATTAAATTGATCAAAAGCGACAGCTAAGACATTGATAATGTTACAGAAATTTCAATTGAATGCTGTTCTTTTCCAGTTTCCACAAAAATAAGCAGCTCAAATGTCTTGAACATTGATAATAATAAGAAATGTTTCTTGAGCAGCAAATCAGCGTATTAGAATGATTTCTGAAGGATCATGTGACACTGAAGACTGGAGTAATGATGCTGAAAATTCAGCTTTGATCACAGGAATAAATTACATTTTAAAATCTATTCAAATAGAAAACAGTTATTTTAAATTGTAATAATATTTCATAATATTACTGTTTTTACTGTATTTTTCATCAAATAAGTGCAAAATCTTTCCAAACCCCAATTTCTGAATTGTTTATATGTGTTTATGTCATTCAGCTGTGTGTGCTTGTCTGTGTGTTCAGGTCTCCAAACAAGCCTTTAAGTTGCTGACACAGATTGAGCACGAGCCGCTCCTGAACCTGGACCTTTTGAATCCTGACCTGTTTGATCACACTGACATCATGACTAAAGTGCAGAGCCTGAGACAGAAGCTTCGTTTCCTTGGAGATTACATCCTCATCTGCCGCAGTGACATAAGCAGACAAATCCAACCCAGGTGTGTGTGTGTGTGCGCGCGTTTTTGTGACAAATGAGGACATAAATTTGTATAATGACAAGGGTATGACATAGGTATTACAAGGAGAAGGTGACTTTTCAGGACATTACCCCATGTCCCCACTTTTCAAAACGCATATAAATCACACAGAATGG